CGAAAAAATCATTGCGAAGGATTATAATATAATGTATCGCTAACAATTCTATTCATCAGATACGAGTGATTCAACTTCAGAATCATCTAATCGTAAGAGAATACAAAACATACGACTGACATTCGTGTTCATACATATACCACCCAATATTCACATGGTAATATTGATAGATTGAAAATTAGAAGCGAAATGTATTTCAGTGAAATGTACTCACTGAAATTGTTTTGGAAAAGCGATTTTGAAATTTCTGGGGAGAGAGAGTGAATGAAATTTTACCATTAACAAAATCAGACTTCAGTGATGATATCGAAGACTCTGGGACGGGTTTTTCCCAATTCCCTTCAGAACATCAATGAAATTCGTATTGTTTTTTCTTTTTTGTATTACCAAAAAAAAAACGGAGCAAACAATCGAACCACTCACGAGGTTAACTGTCCACAACACAACAATAGCGATATTCGTCAGTACAAAAAGTTTAGCACATATATAAGCGGATAACTTTGTTATAGCGGCTTTTTTTTACATCAGCAGTGATCAATTCCGGTGTTGAAATGCATTGTTTTCGTTTTTTTGTTTTGGCTAATAATATAAATAACAAATAACAATGAAACTGAAACAAAAAAGGAAATATCAAAGAGAATTTATGAACGTTTGATGTTTGGCTGCTGTGCTCGGCGCACATCGCTTCTCGGTTATAAAATTAATATTACACATCGATATGATCAAACAGCACAAATCAATTCGCTTTTCTCCACAAAAAGTAACTCGAAACGAATCGGTTTCATCAACATCAAAAAAATTCCATTTCACATTCCACTAAACCAAACAACAATTGTTCTTTGATGTTGAAATTCTCATTCGTTCTCTCATTTTCTGTATGATTAAAGAAATAAATCCCAAATTGAATCGATTTACTCGAATAACTCCCGACAATTTGAAATGATCCGTAAATATTATAATTACATACGGATAACAAACTCCAATAAGCGATAAACAAACAAACAAACGCAATCGTCGTTGTGTCTTATAGCATAAAGTTGGTGGGCGATGAGTGGAGATTAAAAATTTAAAAAAAACTCAGCCCGAAGAGTATCAATTATTTTTTGCCAACAATGCACAAAATTCGCTTCATTTTTCTGCAATGAAACAGAAAAAAGTTCCAAGTGTATCATGTGAATACTTTGTGATGCGTTATGAAACAGATGCATTTAATCAATCATAATGTTAAAGTTACGAAACTGGTGCATGAATATAAATTTGTAAAGCAATGGTGTGTTCATATATCTGCTATGCAGAGATGAAGTTTCCGCTGAACAATCAAACAGTATACAAAATACATTTTATTGACCTTTAGCCGTTGACATTGCAGAGTTATGATAAATAGTTATAATAAATAAATAGAGTTCAATAGAGTTACAATAAATAGTTATAATAAATAAACAGAGTTCAATAAGAATTGTATTACTAAACAGTTCAAAGTCAGCATGCGCACACAAATAAAGCTATCTATCATCAATTCATGCAGAAATCATCACAGAATAATGATAACAGCTGAAATCAATGCGTCGTAATTTACATAATACACTAAAAATTTTGTTACAACAAAAATACATGCTAAAATATGCTTTAAAAATGTATTATCGAAGAAAACTGAAATTAATGTCAGAGAATATATGACATGGATCGCATGAAATATCATAATAATAACATAATACTGACAATAATAATATAATAATACATAATTTAACACAATATGTTAAACAATGTATAATATAATATTGACAATACAACGATAATAACAATAATTATAATAATGATAGTAATAATAATGACAGTAGTAATAATAAAAATAACAATAATGATAATAGAGATAACAATGATGTGAACAATGGTCTTCATACGCGAAGATATTAGGAGCACTGATTGTAAATCATTGCATTTGGATAAAAAAGCAAATGAATGATACGCAGCTGAGAAGTTGTGTGCTGTAACGGACATTTTTTGAAGTGTATTTATTTTGGGAATTAAAATGTCAATTTATTGACAGCATTCGATTTGTTCATACACACGTACAGACGTAGCAAATTGCGAATTAAGCTCAAAACAATAGTTAAAAGAAGAGCAATAATAACAGATACACATAAAAATATCGCTCGTACTAAATAAATAAATACGTACTTACGGTCAAATACATACTTAAAAAGTATGTACTTAAAAAAACGTACTTACTTACTTAATACTCGTACTTATAAATAAATACACAAATACTCACCCATAACTGAATAAATTATCGATATTGATAACCATATTTACATTCAAGAAAAGACGTTAAATATCAGAAAATGGGCAATAAATCATATTTCCTACGGAAGAACACCATCAAAGAAAAGAGTTTTGTCCTGAACGTAATTATTTCCAAAGTCATCAATAATCATTCACTCTAATGGATTCTCTTCATTGTCCATCAAACGATTCAACTCATACACAACAATATACACTCAAATGTTGATACAATCGCAGTGAATGAATCACTTTACAAATAATATTTCTTCTGAATTTCTCTTTTAACAAATTGAGACGCAACCAATCAAACCAGATTTACTTATCATTGCGTCAAAAACACACACANACACAAAAAGACAAGAAAAGCAAAAAAAAAGATGCAAAAGCAGCATTAAAACACGAATAAATACATCATTCATCAGTCGTTGTCAAGGAAAAAGCCTGAAGGTTTTGATTTTTCGATCAATTCGACAAGCAAATTTCGATAAGATAAATTAAAAATGATTCAGACAGATACAAATGTTAAAGTTATCGACAACTAAACATCGTGCAGAAGATTAGCGGTGCTATCCATTGCAAGCACCTTCCTCACGTAGTACGGCATATGATCAGAGATGACTGCACCAGACAGTTTAATCTCATCGAATTCATTGTAATCAGTCCACCTCTTCACTAACGATCCATTCGAAACACTCAAATGCAATAAGCGTCCGGGTGGATGCAACTGCATTCTCCTTCTTCGCTGTTGCTCTAAGAGATTCCTCTCCGAATCGGAGTCAATTCCACCGTAATCGTTCGACATCGATGACGACACTGCACGATGGAATATCAACGGCAAACGGTCGTTTACCTGTATCACCGTTGCGGGTGCTGTTGTTGTTGTTGTTGTTGTTGTCGTGTCTGCACTACTGACTACTGGCGCAACTGGTTCTGATCATTAAAACCATCATTAGCACTTGCATGCTAGCAAATCTATCATTACTGAACATTTGCAATGAATTCACTCAACTATTCACTTCTACTCTGATATCAGACACAAATACACTCCATTGAATGCAATT